AGGTGGGGGCGGGGGAGGCCTCCGCCTGAGGGAGCCGCACTTCCCCCGCAGGCACTTTCTCCTCCACTTTCCAGCCCGGTGGATGGAGGAGGAGGGGGGAGGTGTCGCGTCCTCCCGTCAACTGAGCGAGACTTCTCTACTTCTAGGCAGGGTATAGGACTGCAGACATACTTTCTTGGTAAGAGAAATGTTTTTCGCACAGGTGGAGAATCACTATTGGTACTCCATGTTTCTTAAAAGTTCTTTACATCAAAAACATTTGGGGGGGGAACTGGACTTAAAAAGTAATTTGAGGCTATTGTATTTTGGCATGTTTTGAAATAACCAGACTTACTGGAAAAGACAAAAGGCTGAGAAAAGGTAGCAGGAATTGATGAGCAAATGTGATGAATTGGCTCAATAAAGGAAGCCAGTGTCTTGTATTTGGAAGACCTGAACAAGACTGTTAATATATTTTGATAAGTAATTTCTCTTTCATAGGGTAATTCATCAGAAACTTCACAACACAATGGTGGTCTGAAAACTTTAGCCTATTCAGTACACTTAATTCTGACATGAGACTAAAACATTGATGGAAATTTTGCTGATTGATTGATTCACAGAAGAAGCTGAAATAATACTTAGGCCATCTGATGATAAGGGAGGACTCTCTGGAAAAGACGCTGATGTTAGGAAAGTGTGAAGGCAAGAGGAGAAGGGGATGACAGAGGATGAGATGGTTCGACAGTGTAATCGAAGCTACCAACATGAATTTGACCAAACTCCAGGAGTCAGTGGAAGACAGGAGGGCCTGGCGTGCTCTGGGCCATGAGATCACGAAGAGTCGGACACGACTAAACAACAACAACAATGGAATGGAATGAACTCAGATTTTAAAAATCCAAATATAAGTGAAAACAAAAGGTCCAGACCCTTCCATGCTTTAAATGTGACTTCAGTCCCTTTGTATTCAGCCATACAGAATTAAGGTTTACACTGCTTTTTTCTGTTGGTGGTTTTTTTGTTTGTTGTTTTTTTTTTTTTTTTTTTTTTTTACTTTTTTGCTTCTTTGACACTTTTGTGGCAGGGAGGTTGAAAATTTCCATGCTAGGAACAGATGGTACTTGCTCTATTTGTCCAGTGCAAATGTTTTAAAACCTTATGTTTATTTATTTATTTGTTTGTTTGTTTGTTTGTTTGTTTGAATTGTACCCCACCTATCTGGACTACCAGACCACTCTAGGCGGCTTCCAATACAAAATAAAACAATAAAAATACAGTAAAAATACAAAAATGTGCATAATCATCCAATAACAATCAATAACAATTGGCACAGATGTTGTGGAAGGAAATGAAACTAATGGGAATAAGGGGCCAGAAAGGTTCTTCCCTTGCCTGGACCATATGAGGGCGAGGGGTCTGGGGGGGGCTTGCGGAGAAAGTGGGAGGAAAAGAGGTGCTCCGTGTTTTCCCAGGCACCTTGCATAGAGGTAGGAAAAGGGACCTTTGTGCTAAAAAGAGCCAGGAAAAGGCCTATGGAGTTCAAGATTACACTGGTACAAACGCAGGCTGATCCCACAGATGCTCCTGATGGGCCCTCAAGTGGATTCAGACTTCTGGGGATCCCCTCTTCAAGAAGTAATTTTAGGAGGTTTACCAGCCCTTTCATCTTGGGGGGGCCGCTGGGACCCTTCCTCCTTCTGCCTCTTGCCCTGGCTGCTCAGGCGGGCCCTTCTCCTGGAAGGCACCGCCAGGAAGGCAAAGCTGGAGCCACCCAGCCAGCTCAGGGGAGAAAGGCAGAGCCTCAAACACAGGCGTGGAGGCAGCCAGGAGTGACGGTTCACTCCCAGCCAGCGTCGGGGTGTGTGTCATTTCCCGCTTGCAGTGGGGGCACGGGCAGGAACCGATGTCTTCCACCTAGCAGGTGCTCTGCCAATCCCTCAGATGCCTCCGTTGGAGGGGCTTTGCTCCAGGTAGCCCTCCTCCCATTGCCTCGTGGGCCAGCCCACTAGAGAAGAGGTGGGCGATAGAGCATGCAGCTGCCACCGTCTCTTTGCAGGAGGCTCCCCCCACTGCCTCCTCGCATGCGCCAAGAGTCCCTGCCTGCCCTCTGACCACATCAGGCAAGCCCACTCCCCTCCTCGCAGCTGCTGCTAGCCCAGCACAGTGAAATCATGGGAAGATTTGGATGGGTGCGCCTCCTTTGAGGCTGAGTCAAGTCCCAAGACAGAGCCCCCCCTGCCCTCCTTCAGGGGCCAGAGGAGCCTCCTGGGCCCAGCCCCCTGCTTCGCCTTGCCAAATCGGCACACAACAGCAGCACCACGAGCAGCAGCAGGGGCAGGAGACTGGGACCCTGGAAGGCAGACTGACAAGCTGGCTGGAGCAGCTCCCTGAGTTAAGAGCTGGTAGCAGCGCCCAGGCGGGAAGCAGCGGCTTCTGCTTCAACTGCCTCTCTTCCCCAAGGCCTGGACAGACAGCGGCAGTCATGAGCCTGGACTTCTTGCCTTCCATGCAACCGGCGGCAGCTCAGCTCTTTGCGGCTGGGAGCCAGGCAGTGTGGTAGGGAACAGTGGCTGCCGCCAGATGCACTTGGGCCAACCCACCAGCTGGTAGGCGCAGACGCTGAGCAGCCGCCGGTTGCACGGAAGGCGAGTCCAGGCTCGTGACCGCCGCTGTCTCCACCGGATCTCAACTAGCCCTTCTGCAGGCGTGACATGCCCCCAGGGCGGCAGGGCGGAGATCCCTGCCCGCGGCGCAGTTCCGGCAAGCCCACGGACAGGCACTGGGCCACGGACCGAGGGTTGATGACCCCAGTTCTAAACCATTTAGCTTTAGTATGTCACAATATAAACATTCGTAGTTTCTCTCAGATTTTGTAGCTAGCAGAATCAGTAGTCAGAACTTCTGGAAGTTTCAGTCTCAAGTGTCTAGGATCCCATGTTTGGGAACCTTTGTCTTCATCTTCTGGAAATGTACCCAAAAGAGCATGCTTTTTCTAGACCTACCTCTAAAGATCTGCTTTTATTGCACAACTTATCCTCATCAAAGTTTAAAGTGACACCTTCCAAAGTAAACTATATTCATGGTACACAATGAAACTTATGTTTGTTATTTTTCTTTTCTACAGGATTATATAAGAAGTCTGGAAAATTAGTTTTCTTGGGTTTGGATAATGCAGGGAAAACCACTCTTCTGCATATGCTTAAGGATGACCGACTAGGTCAACATGTTCCTACGCTGCATGCCAGTAAGTTTTATCTGTCTGTAATTTGTGTTACCTATTTTGATTCTTTGAAAAATTTATTCAATTTCAATAGACTTTAAAGTTTGGCATATATCTTTGGCAAAGTGATGTAGTTACTGTCTTCAAGTTATTTTCTTAGAGGATTAGTAAGATGCAGCGTAAGTGTTAAAAAACAAGCAATAAAGTATCCAGTGTGTTATATCCAATACATACTTTACCTGATGTTTCACAAATGAGAATTAATTACCTACTCTGTGGTGCTATGTAAGGTTTAAGGTGTTAATTTGATAATTGTTGATCCTGTAAGGTTTCATGTGCTTTGAAGGCCTTGCATCTCCTTATAATCAACATTCTATTCAGACAGCACTAACATTACAATCACTTAGGTTAATAAGCCATTCTTCTTTTTATCCAGCATCAGAAGAGTTGATGATTGCAGGAATGACTTCCACCACTTTCGATCTTGGTGGTCATGAACAAGGTAAAAAGAATTCTTCTTTTGTGGCGAGCAGCTCATATACATTTTCATTTTTATGTTAAGAATCATCTAAGAATAATCAGGTAGAAGATTTTGTCAACTAGACATGATGATCTCACAAAGGGCAGGATACTGAGAATCCTTCTGGGAGTTTGGTTATCATTGATTCTGTGTAGAGGGTTGCTGCGATCACTGAAATGGTTATGAGGGACAGTGCTGTATGATCTTGGCTTTCTTCATATTACTAATCTATTCAGCATTATTTATCTTATAAGGGTTGTGTAGAAGCAAAAATATTTATTTTTAGAGCAAAATAACTACCATCAAGAAGTGACCATATAAATCTGAAAATCCTACAATAAAAAATCCAAAGATTTAACCTGTTGCATAATTTAAATTATTAAGCACGTGTGTGAAGACTGCATTTATGTTTGAAGGATAAGCATATGGAGTAGCTAGCACTGACCTTTGCTAATTGTGCTTTTAATGGCTGTCTAGAGTTTGAAAAATATTTGAAGCCCACTACACAGCCACTTCAATTTCTTGAGTTTGCTCATGTGGTTTGTAATACAATATCAAAAGTTGTGCGTGCACTACTGATTCAAATAGGCCAAACTACGTTCACTCACTAGGCAACCCTGCCAATTTGTTCCACACCCTGGGCTTAGCAACTAGCAGTAATAGAACATGCTTTGAATAAAATGGAGGAATCAAATGTTTGAATTCAACATATATTTTGCACAGCAGTTTCTTGCAAGAGCCAATTGTTCCTTCAAATCCATTTTAGATCAAAAATGTCCTGGAGAAGATTTATCTATTTTGGGATGGACTCGATCATATATGCACACTTATGTGCTGTTTTCAAATGAAGTCCTATGTTCCTTCTTACAGCTTTTTTTTCTTTTAGCCTCCATGTAGGATGCAGAGACGAGGGAAAGGGCTACCTGCCTGGGAGTTGCGCCGAATTGTTCCGGATTCTGAAGAGCGTTGGCTCTGTGGCAAGGAGGGAGGGCATCTGGAATAGTTCCCATGAGCTGAGCTGGCGATTCTGGAACTTTCTTCATAGACCCCCCCCAAAAAAACCTTTTCTGCAAACCTTTGCTGATCTCCAGGAGTTCTCTTTCCTGTGTGCAAGAGAGATTTCCCTCCTCGTGCCACCTATCCCCGTTTTGCATGCTGGACAGGATTCTTTTCCTCCCAGGGTTGCTCAGGCAAATTGAACCTCATGGCTGAGACTCTGCCCTTGACTGCCATGAGAGTTGGCTGTGTGGTGACTGTATCTCGCTCCCCGTCTAGCAGCCAGACCCCCAGACCTTTGCCCAAAGGACCCTGGAGTGGCAGTGGTGTGCTCTTGACCCTTGACCCAGGCATCATCCTCTGCCATGGGATCATCTTCTCCCCTTTCATTCTGGACTCGGAGTACCCCGATGGCTCCCAACAGAAAGTGCTGCTGGCTGAGAGCTTCTCCTCAGACATCCGAATCCAGGTGCTTGCACCAAGTCAAGGCAAGAATCAAACTCCTAGTAGGACCTGGCTTAGTGGAGACCAAGGGGACAGCTTTCCAGTTTTAAGGTTCAATCCACTGTCCAATCATCAACAAGAGGTACCTAGCGGCACAAAACAGTGGGAGGCGGAGCTTGTTCTGATGGCTCCTTGCCTGCCCTTCCAGGAGGCTTTCTCTAAAGTCTTCACTGCTTCTGATCAATGGTATTTTGGGGACAGTGAGGTTGGACAAGAACCCAGCTCTTTTGCAGAGGATTTGCGTTTCCTTCATTGGTTTGCTCTGCTGAGACTCGTGGATTGTGATTTCCATGGCGCAGATAGTTGGGTGAGATGTGTGCCAGCCAAGTGGCTGAAAAAGGGGGACCCAGTCTTTGCCTGTGGCTCGCCTTTTGGATCCTTCTGCCCAGACATTTTCATGAATACTCTTAGCAAAGGGATAGTGAGCAACATGGCTGGAGAAGGCAATGCCCTTATCCTGACAGACGCTCGCTGCTTGCCTGGTACTGAAGGTGGAGGTGTCTTTGCAACCCTGGGAGCTGATCTCCATCTGATTGGCATCATAGTTGCTCCGCTTTGCTGGAAATCCAATGAGTGGGTTGGTCTGACTCTGGTTTGTGCCATCAATCACATTCTGGCAGGTATTGGAAGTATCCTTTCTGAGTCTCCCTGCCTTCTCAAGACTGGGCTGCACTCCATGGAACTTGTGATGGAGCCTCGTGGTGCACTGGTGGGCCGAGATGGGATGACTCAGCAGATGCTGGCAGCTGTGGTTCTGGTGGAATGTGGGCCAACCTGGGGATCTGGTGTGATGGTGAACTCGAGACTTGTGTTGACCTGTCGGCATGTGGTCAATGGCGCATCCAGTGTCTGTGTAAGGTTTCAGCCCAGCCCTGATAAGTAAGTCTAAGTTCCCATATGTACTGAAGAGGATTTAGAAAACATGTCACCCTTCAGATATTGTTGCTCTCGTCTTCTCATTGGCTGTATTGGCTGGGATTGATAGGAGTTACAGTGCCAGAAGATTTGAAGGGCCACACCTTTCCCACTGCTGATACAGAGAGATACTGGTTTAAAGTGTATTTATTAGTTTATAACTGTAAGTCTTCTTCATTTACATATTAATTTAAAATATTTATATCCTGTCCCATATCACAGGATCTCAGGGTGGGGTACAACAAAATTTAAGCTTAAGCACTTACAAAGAACACTACAGTTGATTCAAGCCAAGACCTTCATTGGAAGATCTGGCTTGTTTTTCTCCAAGCCTTGAAATGGGAACATTTTATGAAGAGTTGACCAAATCATGAAGAAGTGATTTGTGAGAAATTCTTGGAGCCCAGTTTGGATATTTGTCACATACGATCTTGGGGAGTTACTTGGATGAATTCCTGGAGTCTTATTCTGTATAGATAGCCAACACAGGAGATATCAGAGGGCTGACTGAGATTTTAGCTTTAAGTCAATATCCATCTCACAGGTGGATCTGTTGTTGATAGAAAATCAGTTGTTAAACCTGATTTTAAAATTGTAGTGTACTTCCATCTTTTAAAAGATACACAGGAATTAAGTTATTCTTGCAGGAAAGTACAAAGTACTTCTTAGTATGCAGCTAGCTCAGCTTCCTCCAGTGGTGTTTCTTTTTTCAGTCCATGCACTTAATGGGGTCAGGATTGGTTGGGGCCAAGATGCATAATAGGGCAAATGGGTGTTGTATGGTCTAACAAGTATATGAGTTTCTGCAGCCTCTGCTTCTGAATTGAGTGCATTTACCCTGATTTGAAGACCTGCTTGCTTCCAACATCTGGCTATCCAGATGTTGCTGGATGACAATTTCCATAATCCTTCATCATTGGCCATGCAGCTGATGAGAGTTTCATTTTTGCAATGCATAGAGGGTCACAACTAGCCCATCCGTCACTTAAAGAATTGTATCTGTCACCATGCAAGCCACCAACATACGGATCTGCACTCTGTCACTAGTCCCAGCTAATTAACTGAGATTTACCTATGTGGTGATTTACCATTCAATAGATGAGTCAGTAGGTCGAATCTTAATTAGACTATAGTGATGCCTTGATTTACGAACTTAATCCCTATTGGAATGGTGGTCATAAATCAAAATGTTCATAAATCAAAACATCTTCCATAGGAATGCATTGAAAACCGATTAATCTGTTCCAGCTGTTTTTTGTCCTTATGTCAAGGCACGGTTTATATGTCAAAGCATTAGTTCCCCTAGGAACTAATGTAAAGCCCATTAATCCGTACTCTACCACTAAGAGGAGTATTTTTTTTCTTTTTTCTTCTTTTGACCTAAGATGAACTTAAGTCAAAAAAAAGGGCAGGAAAGTTTTTTTTTTTTTCATTCATAAGTCAAAGCTCTGTTTATAACACAAAGCAATATTTAGCATCCGGAACTGTTCGTAGGTCAAATTGTTCATAGATCAGGGTGTTCGTAAGTCAAGGCACCACTGTAGTCAAAGGTACATACCATGATCTTGTGCAGCTCCAGTTTATTTCAGTGGGGCTTGTGAAGCAAAGTATCCATCAATGCATAGTGCCCAAGACTTCGATACATACATCTTCATAGCTTTGCCATGGAACTTGTCAGCTTTAGGAGTAGCATTACTGTGTTAGCATTACATTGTTAAGGTTTGTTTTTCTTAAAGCAATAATTATGATAATGACTATTTAAATAATTCTTGGATAAATTTGTTAAATTGTTAAACTTTTAAAAATATCTATATAAAATTGACCAGAACAAGCTAATGCACTAACAGTGACATTATAAGAAATGGTAACAGAGCATAATTTGGTATGGTAATGTTTAAAACAGAAAGTTTTTAAAAATCATTGCTGAAAATTTTAACAAATTAAGGCAACAGATCAATTGTTAATTATTTTAAGTTGGACCAGTTGATAAGTGCCAAAATCAAGCTTTCCTGCAAGTGTCAAGATCTAATGTCTGCTTCACCAAAGACTTCTGTTTGCTTTTAGGATGTCTGTAGCTAAAGGAAATGTGATCTTTGCCACTAAAGACTCTTCTCCCTTTGACATAGCTCTCGTGGAGCTAGAGGAAAGTTTATCAGCTTTTCAGGAGCCTGTACTTGCATCACAGTTTAACACAGGTAAGATCTATCTGCCCATCTTTTGTCACATCTTGGATTTCATTAATATTTATATTCATGTTTTCTCCTTCCTCCAGTGTCTTCACAACTTTCTCCTCTCCATGTCACCTTATTGCTTGGGCATCTGCCTTGGCCTAGATCCCACCATGGAAATCCAGGTGGTGTCTGTGGTCCGGGCAGGCCATTTCCATCTTTGGAGGATTGCCCAGTTGCATCCCTATCTAGACACGGGCACTCACAACACTAATACATGCCATCGTAACCTCAAGAATAGACTACTGCAGTGCTCTCTACGTGGGGCTACCCTTGAGGCTGATGCGGAGACTTTAACTGGTCCAGAATTTGGCGGCCAGATTATTAATGGTGCAGAAATTTGAGCACACCTCCCCCATTCTGGCCACCCTTCATTGGCTACCGGTTCATTTCCGCATCGACTTCAAGGTTATGATGATAACATTCAAGCCCTAAATGGTTTAGGACCTCAATACCTATCAGAATGCCTGGTCCCAGCCAGATCTGTCCCTAATACCCGTTCTTCACAGGCAGGGTGGTTGAGAGCCTTGACCCCGAAGGAGGCCCGGAGGGAAAGAACAAGAAACTGGGCCTTCTTGGCGGTTGCCCCCCACCTATGGAACAACCTGCATATTGAGATCTGCCTGATACCCTCGCTGGATGGGTTCAAAAGAGCATTGAAGACCTGGCTGTTCCGTCAGGCTTTCCCAGAGCACTGAGATCCCGCCCTCCCTTTTTGCCATCCTCTCCATCACCCTTTTTACCACCTTTATTGCCATATGTTTTAATTTCCTTATTTGTCATGTATTAATTGTTTATTGTGTTTTAATATTGTTCCTAATACTGTTGTTAGCTGCCCAGAGTGGCCTGCTTGTGGGATATAAATTCAATAAATAAATAAATAGGGCAGAGGTAGGTCAGGCTGAAAGAAAATTGTTGGTGCAGAATGGCAAACAGTCAATACTGCTCCTGTGCCAGGATTGGCACCAATTCAGTTGGGGACACCTTCATGATCGATTGGGGAAACATCATCTCTACCCATCTGTCTGTCTGTCTGTCTGTCTATCTATCTATCTATTTATGTTATACCCCACCTATCTGGTCAATATGACCACTCTAGGCAGCTTCCAAACATGCAAAAATACAACAATATATATATAGCAAATAAAAATATCAACATTATACAATAAACAATGAACAACAGACATAAACAATAAGCAGTTCTTCACGATAGCAATATGACAGAAATTTCCCCCAACCCCTCTCATCCAAAGAACTGTAATCAGAATTTGCCAATTCCAACCAATGCAATTCTGATTGCCCCTTGGTAGCCTTGACAACCATGGTTTACACACCTCAAGTCAATGTCAACCACTTTTCTCCACCTCCCCAACTTTCCAAACCTGCTTTTTCAGGACGATGGGAAGATTTATCACCCAGGCCTAACATCCCTCAAACTTACAGCATGGAGGATTCTTCCCCCATAGCAGCCATCATTAGTAAAGCTAGAACGCCATCCACAAAAATTCTTTATAATTATAAATGGAAGTCTTTCTCTACCTATGCTGCCTCTAACAATCTTTCAGCCTCCCCAACTTCTCTAGATACATTGCTTAATTATCTTTTACACCTTTTCAATCTGGGACTCTCTCAAGCCACCCTCAAGAGTTTATATCGCTGCAATTATAGTTTATCAACCGCCAGATACGGAATTAGCAAATTTTTTCTCTAATCCAACCTTGAAAAGATTTTTAAAAGGACTTCACAATATTTGCCCTCCACAGCGACCTCCACTTCTTCGGTGGTCTCTCCAAACTGTTCTAAATGCTCTCACCAAACCACCATGTGAACCCATGGCTTCCACTAACTTCAAACTTCTTTCATTGAAGACTCTTTTCCTGGTAGCCACCACCTCAGCTCGTCTAGCGAGTGAGCTTTCTATTCTCAGATCTGACTCTCTTTTTCGAACAATATTCTGTGCCCTATTTTTCAAGTGAGAAGGCTAGCACATTGCCTGCAGTCATGTACTACAGTATACACAATCCTTAATGTTGCTCTGGAAGTAAAGAGCTGGCAAGATAAAAAAATAGAACATCCTCTGCCTCTCTTTGCTACAGAGCATTCATTCTTCAGGAACCGCTGACTTAAGTTATACTGCAACTTGGGGGGAACTCAAGAAGAGGAGTGGCTGAGTGCTGATAGCTGTCTCTGCTTTTTTCACTCTGTTGTGTGCTGTGCTTTCTATGGGGGTTGCCACAAACTGTTGCCCATTTGCTCATTGCCCCAGCTGAGAACTGCTGAGCTCTGAACAGCTTTCTTGTGTCATGAGAAAGAAGAGACACAAAGTGGTTTCTGCTGGAAGTGAAATGGGACTGGTGGGTCTCCTCCACAAGGCCCTGAAAACTCTTGAATCCCTATTTTTGCTGTGTTTATAATGTATGAAACAATTCTTGTCGTAATTTTGGTTTGTGTGCGTTTTTCTTTCAGGAGAAGATGTGAGTATCGTTGGCTTCGGGGTCTTTGGCCAGGCCTGTGGTCCATCAGTAACCTCAGGAATCTTGTCAGCAGTGATCACTGTGGAAGACAAGCCTGTGATGCTTCAGGCCACCTGTGCAGTCCACGGTGGTTCAAGTGGGGGAGCTCTCTTTGCCACCCAGAGTGGGAAACTCCTAGGTATATTGAATATCTGCTTTCTCTCTCCGCCCACCCCGTTTTTCCCTCCTTATGTCATCCCTGAGCAAGCACAGATGTTGACGCATGGCCATAATTTAGCCTTCTCAGGAGCAGCTTTATTTCCTTAAATTAAATTTCTGTCCCTCAGTATACAAAAAACAATACAGTATTTAATGAACAGTATTTAGTGAAATCCCGAGAATGAGAAGCAAACCAGGATTTTTATGTGACAGGATTGAGTTTTTACTGCACTATGAATACCTGAGAACAGATGATAATCCTGAAAGATTAAAAAAAATCAAGAATTAATTTTGAAAAAGAATAAGATCTGGACTCCCATAATAGTTCTGCAGTTTTTAAAATATTTATTTGTTTTATATTCTTGCTTCCTGTACAGGTATAATGTTTAAAACAATTAAATATGGCAAAAAACATTAATCAGTAACAGATAAAAGAGCAGAGATAGCAGATGACTGCTAATAACTGGCAGACAGCAGCAGCTGGAAAAGATAAGCATCCACAGAAAAATATTATGTAGTGGTGTCTGGTCACTGGAGAAGGGGGAAATGGGCTCTCTTGGTAGCACATTCCAGACTAGATGCAGCTTGCCTCTGTCTCCATAGCCTTAGCAGAGCTAAAGTGGGGTTGCATACTGGTGACTTGTATAGCTATAGTGACCATGCAGCATTTGGGCTACTTGATAATAGTCTGTAGCTTCTCCTGTAATCTGAATACTGATCCCTATGAGTAAGGTAGATATCTTGAGGGTTACACAGCATGAGATGGCTCTGTGATGCTGCAAAAGATGCAGCATTTGAGATCATCTGATTTATGAAATGGCCTTTAACACCGTATTGGCCTGATTGAAACTTTTACTTGGTCAAATGTAGAGGTGGGGGGGAAGCTTGGCTACTGGTTGGGCTGGTGGGAGTTTGAGTCCAAAGACATCAGGAGGGCCCCTGGTTTTTTTCCACTTCTGATCTGTTTACAAAGGTAGGAAGCTTTAGCCCATTGTGATCTTTTTCAAGTTGCAACTCATAAGAATCCCTCATTGCTGGTTAGGGCTTGTGGAACCTACAGGAAGGTCTTTGTTTTGCATGTAATTTATTTCGAATTAGCAAATGATATATTTTGCTGAATATTTGAGAGTGATCAGATATTGAACTGTGTTCTTTTTTTTTTTAATTTCCCCAATTCCTCTCCACATACACACCCTTGGTGCTCCAACTTCAGGTATTGTGGCCAGCAACACCAGGGATAACAGCCTTGGAGTGACTTACCCCCACCTGAACTTCAGCATTCCTGTTACAGTCCTGCAACCAGCCATCTTGGAATACATCCAACACAGAAGCCTGTCTGGCTTCCAGGCCCTCAACTGGGTGGGTGACAAGATCCAGGTGGTCTGGAGACTCCAGAGAGAACCGGAGGAGATCCCGCGCAGCAAGCTTTGAGGGTCTTCGGAGAGAGAAAAAAAGTCTTGCTTCTAGAGCAGGAGGAACTCTATGGATTCTGTAGCCAGTATGCCTGTGGCCATGCTGGTTGGGGGATTCTGGAAGTGGTAGTCCAGAACAAAATTCCTAGATTCTGTTCTAGATTCACATAAGTTGCATCATCGGGGGCAAGATCAGAAGCTACTGTTGCTGGACAACCCAATTGTCAATGAAATCTTTGAATTACTTGTTCGGAGCGCCATGGGACTTTATTTCAGGGGGATTTGCCCTATTTGGACTCTTGACCCTTCCCCCCCCCCCCATTTTTACTTCTATCTGGATCCTTCATGTCTCCATTTCCATGCAGATATCAAAGTCTGTTCATAAAACAGATACGGGAAATCTTTGGTGCTCCAGGGATTTTGAACTATAATTCATGTAACTCATGATCCCTTACCATTGACCTTGTTTGCTAGGAGTTTGGTAAATTGTAATCCAAAACCTTTGGCAGGTCCAACATTCCCCACCAGTGCCTTAAACAACCTCATCCATTCCCCATTCCTTTAGTGTTTACCCCATTATATTTTGCTTCCCCCAGATGATTTCTTGAGCCAGTCAAAACCTGTGAAATGGCATTTGCTGATTCCAGGCCTGGGTAGCCTTTCCTCTTCCTTTCCCTCCACTTTTGCTTTCATGCACAGTGGAAATATAGATGGTTAATTCTCTTTATTTTGTTTATGGTGCTACATTAATGAGTAATAAGGTTGTAGAGAGGGACATAATTTTATTAAAGTTTAATTTGTGCACATTCTCTCTTATAGCCACCATTTGGGACCACTATGCCAAACCAATGCAATATTCAAGTCATGGGAAGATTTCCTCCTATTTCAATTTCTTATCATTAACGTTTAAAAAATCAAATACAATTTGTATGCAGAACTTTTTTCTTTGGCTACCAAATTGATCCGTTGTCTGCAAAATGAAAATACAGTCAGTTTCAGTCACTTTTTTTCAGATTATTTCTTGGATCATCTCCTGCTCAGTCAAAATCCAAAGGAAAAACAAACAAGACTAAATTAAAAAATAAAAGACAAAAATGTGTGGCTACTTAAAGACTATTACAGTGGTGCCTCGACTTACAAACTTAATCCGTTGCGGAATGATGGGCATAACTCGAAATGGTCAAAAGTTGAAGCACCATTTCCTATAAGAATGTATTGAAACCCCATTAATCTGTTCTGGCGGGGGGGGAATCACACACATGCACACACAAAAACACTGCAAGCCCCATCGGAATGTGTTGGGGCCGGGGGGGGGGGGAGCACTAAAAAACAAAGAAAGCCCCATCGGAATACGGCGGGGCTGGGGGGAAAAATCACCAAAAAAAAGAAAGCAAGCCCCATCGAAATGCATTGGGGCCGGAAAAAAATCACTCTCTCACACACACACACACAAAACCAATACAAGCCCCATCGGAATGTCCCGGGGCTGGGGGGGAAAAGCACAAAAGAACACGAAACAATGCAAGCCCCATTGGAACACGCTGGGACTGAAAAGAAATACACACAAAAACAGCAAGCCCCATCGGAGGGCACGGGCTGAAAAAACAAACACACCAAGACACACACACAAAAATCAGCACAGAAATTTAACACCCCCCCAGCTTAAACCCATCCTGAAAAACCCTATATGTACTTACTCAGAAGCAGAAAGCAGCATTAGGCAGTCCCAAGCTTCCTCCGATGCACACACTAACCCTTATGGCAAAAGAGCTACAAAGAAGCAGCCTCTTCGCTGACCAATGGTTAGTACATTTGAATTCCCCGCCTTTCCCTCCCACCTTTTTTCCAGTCATAACTTGAAGCTCCGGTTGCTAGTTGAAGCGAAATTTTGCAGCCAGAGCTGGTTGTAACTCAAAATGGTCGTAAATTGGGACGTTCATACGTCAAGGCACCACTATATATTTTAATGTGAGCTTTCGTACACAAAAGCTCACATTAAAATATAAAAAATAAAATATAATAGTATTTAAGGTGTCACATGTTTTGTCTTTTTGTGTGTGTCATGTTTTTGTTTTGTTTGGATTTTGCGTGATATGCTTGCACAGATTAACATCACTACCTCTTCCAAAACGACCTATTGCTCAATAGTTTTCTGTGCATTCCATCCATAAATCAAAGCTCTCTTTCTGCCCCATACCAATGCTGTGTCTTAGCTGCAGATGAGAAATGAGGTTTTGGTTGCCCTGATTCTATCTAGGGTTCTGAACTAAGCATGGGATTTTCAGATGGTTTGGAATACAAATCCAAGAATTCCGCTACCTCTTCCAAAACGACCTATTGCTCAATAGTTTTCTGTGCATTCCATCCATAAATCAAAGCTCTCTTTCTGCCCCATACCAATGCTGTGTCTTAGCTGCAGATGAGAAATGAGGTTTTGGTTGCCCTGATTCTATCTAGGGTTCTGAACTAAGCATGGGATTTTCAGATGGTTTGGAATACAAATCCAAGAATTCTCCATTCTGGGAGTCCCACCTGACTTTCAGACACCTGAAAGTGGCTTACCTAGGAGAAAAGCCTTAAGCTGGAAGGCTTTACAGCCAAGCTTGGCCTAGCTTCCTGTTCAGAAAGAAAGCAGCCTCGTTGCTAGCTGAGATCTTCCATTCTGAAAAGGAAGCTTGGCCTAGCCTGGCCACAGAGCCTTCCAGTTTAAGCCTTTTCCCCAGGTGAGCCACATTTTAGGTGCCTGTATGTCACGCATAGGAAGAGGGGGAAAGGAATCAAAGCAGCGGAGCCGGGGGATTACTTTGATCCCTTTCCCTCTCTTGCCATACTGCTGCCAGGGCATAGAAAGAGGGTGAAAGCCCGACCGAAGCCATTCCCCAAGCCCCACTGCCTTTGCAAAGGCAGCAGAGCTGGGGGATGGCTTTGATCCCTTTCCCCCTGTTTATTCTGCTGCCAAGGCATGCGAAGAGGGGGGAAACTGTGGGGGGTGGGGTGTTTTTTAAGATAGCCCCAGGGGCTGTCTGAAATAAATGACCCAGCGAACCAACAAATTGATTTGTGGTTCATTGGGCAACAAGTTGAACAACCTACGAACCAATGCGAAGCACCATTTTGGCGATTTGTCCCCATTGCTACTCCTGATGTTGTAGAAGTGTACCCTGTTGCTCTGAAAATAAGACCTACTCTGAAAATAAGCCCTAGTATGATTTTCCAGGATGCTCGTAATATAAGCCCTATCCCAAAAATAACCCCCAGTTTAGTGAAACCCTGCCCGCCACCATTGTGCATCAAACAGAAGATGATGACATGATTGTAAAATACAACAGCCCCTGAAAATAAGCTGTAATGTGTTTTTTGGAGTAAAAATTAATGTAAGACTCTGCCTTATTTTAGGGGAAACACGGTACTATGTCTTTGACTCTACTGCTGAAGGTTAACAGGGCAAGAACATCTGGAGGCCCAAAGTCTTTGATCCCTGATCAGAGAATTGTGAGCATGACTTGGCTTCATCACATTGTGAGGGTTCGATGTTTAAGGGGTCAGTCACTTCAAATAAGGAGCGAGACGGATTTAACAATTCAACAGGTTCAGTATTTATTTGAACACCAACATTAACTGGAACTTCGTGTGGAACAGTTTGTAACTTCTCTTGCAAGTCCAAACCTGGTCGCAAGGGGGTCCATAAATTCCCAACAAATGGGTTACTGTCCTCTGTAGTCCACGGTCCTGCTACACCTTTCACAGGGGCAATCGGGAAGTGTTTCCTCGTCACCACTCCATCCCCATACGGACGACCCCTCTCCGGCATCTGCCAACCATGGCCCGGGTAAATCCCCATCTTCTGCAGTTCCGCCAGATCAATGCCATGCTTTCTTTCTCTCTATTTCCCTTTACTCAGCTTCCCTCTCTCAACTTACACCGCCATTCTTTTGCTTCGGTTTCCCCCCAGTAAGAGGGTCTTACTTTCAGGCCTTGACGCCTTCTCTTTTCTGCTTCTTCGTGGGGCACCTTTACTTGCTCCCATTTCCCAGTCCATGGATTCTCAACCCAGATCCTTTCCCAGCCCCCACCCCCGGGATCTCTTTCCACTTTCCTTTTATATCCCCGGCTGCTGCCTCTATCTCCTCCCGTTTTCTTCCCACCAAATCTTTCCCGGGTCTCGGGGACAGGGTTAACCCTTTCACGGCATGTGCCAGGTCACTGGTATCCACTCCTATATCCACTGATGCCCTGGCTTCGGGAACATCCCCCAGCTCGTAGGTGTCCACCGGGGTGGGGAAGGAGGGGGAGAGGTTTGTGTATTTTGTGTTCGCGATGGGAGCGACGGCACTCCTACAAAGGCCTCCTGTTTGGGGGCCTCACACACATGTCAGAGGCTGAATTGGGAACATAAATCAGGTGGATTCAGAAGCGTACATGGGGGAGGGGGGGATACAGTCTGGCCACCCTGCTCAGCTTTGGATGGGTGAGGCATTTCAAAGGGTGTTGGAACGTGCACCACAACTAGCCGTGTGTTAATACCTGATTGTATGTGACATTCAAAACTAGACTAAACGTGACTTTACCTCTTGGCTTCTATTGTTTCTAGTAAAATGAAATCCTTGATGCTTTTCCTCTGTGAAGTATGGCTTCTACAGTAAAAACGGATGGAACATGGTTAAAGACAGAGTTCGGCTTCCCATTATCAACATACATGTATCTATTCAGAATCCTGCAAGGAATTTAGTGGGGCAGATTTGTCATACTTGGCTTATAGAAATTTGAATGATTCTTCTGAAAGCATCCTTTGTCACCAATACAAGGCGAATGGGAACAGCTTTTATTTCCTGAATGAGGAAATCATGCAGAGTCAGAGCAGCCACTCTCTGAGACAGGCACCTATGGCCCTTCAGATGTTGTTGGTCTGCTTTACTGACTAGGCTCATGGCAGATGAGCTCTCAAAGCATCTGGAGGGACATCTGTTCCCTCCCTCTAATTCAGCATTTCCCTGCCCCCCCTGCAGTCAGCCAGTGCTAAGAGGATGCCCAAAAGTATTAAGCCAGTAGCTCTTTCCTCCCAGTGTTCTCCAGCAGCACTTACTTTGACTAGAACTTGGAAAAGTTACCATTTTGGACTGCAACTTCCAGAATCCCTGATCCTGGCTATCGTGGACAATCATTCTAGAGAAAACTGGCAATTTCCAGAGTGCAGTGAGGTCTGTGAGTTACCAAGCGTGCACTAGGGGGCAGCCTGACTTTTCAGGAAGTCTCCTCTTCTGGTCCACCCAATGCCCAACTGTACAGCAAGGACAGCCAGAAGGTGTTACCAGCACATAAAACCTGAAACAATCCACGAGCCACCAATCTAAAAAACAGACTTTAAAAAAAATTATAATAGGTATGCTTTTAAGTTCTCCAGGATTCTTAGGCTAAGTGGTGTTTCAAGGGCGGTGGGAGAGTTAGGATAAGGAGACAAAACTGCATGTGGCCTGTTGAGTAATCACACAGCAGGGAGAAATAGGCTTTTTTCCAGCAATCAGGAATGATCTTGATTTTATACCCTCACTTCATTTGTTTTCTGGATTTTAGGGTTGTCTTGTTGCAGGGTTAGATGTAATTGTTCTTTGGGTTTCATTTCCTTCTTACTTTGACACTGAAAATAAAGATACTAACCTCTTGAGAGGTTGAAACTTACTGTTTTCTGTAGCCTGCCCTTCCCTACCCTGTAGGAATATTTATTTTGGATAATTAAGACTATATGATGAAATGGCACTTGCTTATTCTGGTGTTGCTTAAAAAGGGTAGATACCTTTCATTTCTAGGATAAGTGTAGGATTCAAGCATATTGTATGAGAGGAGAGGCTAAGAGGGCTGGGTGTCCCTTTTTTCATCTAGAAAATGCTCGAGAGCAGCCTTTACTCTTAAGATACATTTTAAACAGTTCTTTGGATGATGGGAGTTGTAGTTCCCTAGGTTAGGAAAGATTGGTGCAGGGCATGACACTCAAACACTTGAAATGA